ATATAGTTAATACCTTCACTCCAGTTACAGTATAGTTGTGTTACATATAGTTAATACCTTCACTCCAGTTACAGTATAGTTGTGTTACATATAGTTACTACCTTCACTCCAGTTACAGTATAGTTGTGTTACATATAGTTACTACCTTCACTCCAGTTACAGTATAGTTGTGTTACATATAGTTACTACCTTCACTCCAGTTACAGTATAGTTGTGTTACATATAGTTACTACCTTCACTCCAGTTACAGTATAGAGTTTTAGAGTATTTTCCTACAGTAATAAAGAGAAACTATTTTGGGGTAGTTTCATCAAATACAGAACTACATGTGATATGTAGTAATATCTCTTAATTTGATTTTATTGGTGATAACTGTTTAATGATACTTGACAGGATTGTACAAATAAAATGAGAATTAAATTAGAAGTGCTTATCATTTTTAAGAACCGTCGTGATTTATAAGCGAACGTTTTATATTGTTTCTCTGGACCAATACTCTCCTGGTCCTTACGATAACCAGCGTGTTTCAAACCAGTAATCTCCTAGTTATCACTATAGCCAGTGACTTTTTTTTTAACCTATACTCCGCTAGTTTTTACGTTGACCAGCGTTTTTTCTTACTCGTACACTTAACGATAAGTATCGGTGTAAATATTAATCGGTTTCACATTATTATTATTTGTATGCTGATCTTAGTCAATCAAAGAAATTATTTTAAAACTTCTCTGGTGAATATAATTCCTGTAAAATATGTCTGACTTTACGTGTTACATGTCCTTCCTTCAAGGTAAGCGTGTTAATCGTCGGCAGCCGTCTCGAAGAGGAAGGCAAAGAAAAGGTAAAAATGAATAGTTTTTTTTTTTTTATTCATATTCTTTATTGAACACAACTTACTGTCACTCTGTAGAAATCCTCACAGGTAATCTCTCTTTATCAATATTAATTTGAAAGTTTAAAATACTGCCAATAGTTTCGTTTTTAAAAGCACCATTTTCTTAGTAAATGTATTATAATAAAAAGAAAAGCGTACATTCCAGTTTTCTTTGTAAGCCTAACTTATGTTGTTTGCCATTACATTATGTTTAATGAGCGTGACCATTTTTGGTTGCAAAGTTATCCGGGCAAACCCTTTTAGTTTTTCGTAAAAACATGAAAATACCAATTCACCAGGTGGGGCTCACATGCAAACATTTTAATTTATGTTTCTCTTTTCTTTTCTGGGTTATGTGATCACATGTTCGACACTAAATACTTTTGGATCCGTGTTGTCATTTTTATTTATATACTGGAAGCTTTCATTCAAGTTCGCGTTCTAAAAAAGTATTTTTTTTTTTCAATTATCCATAACTCATTTTAAGATTAGTTCCTGCTGACTGCTAACGTTTTAGGGAATTTGCATTTTCAAAGCAAGTTTAGAATTAATAACCGTTCGAAAATAACACTGACTAGTCGCTTGCAATGGTATTCTTTGCATACTATTCCCCCCTTTTTTTTACCTTCTTAAACGTTAACGATAGATGGCGCTTCTGTTAGGTTAAATATTTTGGAATACATTTTATTGCTTTAGGATTTATTACTATTCCGGATACGACTCGATATACTGAGGCAAAAAAAAAAAAAAAAAAAAAAAAAAAAAAAAAAAAAAAAA